GATTTGTTACAAATTGCCTAGAACGTGTTCCACACATCTCAACATTTATCAGCTTTTTGTTCTATCTATAAAAGCCTACATTCCAACAAAATGTTTTGTTTAGTCAAGTTAAACAAGAAAAGGCTAAATGGAACAATAGAAACAGGTAAAACTGTGAAATAAGATAGTTTTGTGATATGATTCAACCGAAAGGTCCTATATATACAAAATACCTATATAATATCTACATTCAAGTTAAACGAACTGTATCTATTCATTATAAGTCATGCGTGGAGCTGAATAAATTATATGATTTATTGTCATCAAAACATCTATGCTTGGTTAACAATGTGTAACTAAAAACTATGATTGGATTTTTATTGCCAACATTCAATGTACCTAGAATTAGGCTGACCCATGCACCCAAAATTTACCGTACAGAATGTACACGCTTCGGTGGCTAGTTTCGAAGTGATTTCTCGGTTACTACTCAGTATAAAATGAAATGAAATGAAATGGGGTTTAACCTCCTACTGTTCTGCTCCGAACTGGGCTAATGAAGACGGGAATACGCCATACAGTGTGCTATGAGGGAAATTTTGCCCGGACAGCGGCACTACGGCCTATTCTTAAATCGAATTCCAACTGTCAAGAAATCTTTTACGTGCACGCCAATGTGTACACGGGACCTCGGGTTTTCGTCCCATCCGAACGACTAGACAGCTGTCCTTGTCAGAGCCTCCGTCCTGCATCACGGACAAGGGGTCACCACGGTTAGCGAACCAGCGTCTTCCCCACTTAGCCACGTGATCCCCTACTACGCAGTATGATAATACTCAGCCGTAGAGTCTATGATACACTATAAACAGCCATCGCACGTGCAATTCTCTACACATCTATCAACTATTACAACCGTAAAAAATCTATTGTTGACGATTCTGAATAGCAGTAATATTTAGCTTACTGGTTATTACAACAGCTTTAGATATTACGAGGTTGAACAGGCGACCCTAATCCTTGTCAACCGGGGATTCCAAACCCCGACAGTTGACTCAATGACAGGTCTTATGATAGAGCGCGCACGTGCTAACCATTCGGTCATCACCCCCCCCCCCCCCGTTATGGCCGACACTCGTAACCATCTTTCAGTGTATTATTTATGGATGATTAAATGGGCATAGCTTATTAAGTACAGCATGACCGTTTATTTAGTGACTATAAATGTTTGAAACTGATTTAAGGCTTGGTGTATATATAAAGATTATTGTGTAATTGTCGAGATATTTGGAGATATTTATTTATGGTGGGGCATCCTATACCGTATCTAGATTTTTAAAGCACGTTAACAATGTATTCATTTAAGAGCAACTATGTCATTTCGGGATTAATATACCACATATTACAACTTATGACGATTAATTAAAATTCCACCATTTTGGATTTCTACCATCACGAATTCTCGAAATTAATTTATCGCTGCCCTTTTATTACCAAATGAATGTTGGTTTTTTTATATTATTATTATTTTTTTAAATGGTATTATATTACCAAATTTGGCAGTCATTTTGAAAGAAATGCCCGCCATCAAATGAAAAATTCATTTTTTCAATTGATTCTTGTCAAATTCGATTTTTCGACACATTTCGCTTGCATAACCAATCTACGTTTGTGGAATTTAAAAAAAAATTATCCTCACACCACTGAAAGACACTGATTACGAGATATCGCTCTCCGATAATTCCTGAAGAACGCCAAATTGAATTTTGTTAATCATGTCAGTTTTCCTTGGCCGATTTTGAGTATGATTTTGTTTGACATATTTATCATTGAACCAAACTGCATCGGTTTCTTTTCCAATTTGTTCAGGGTAAATTGTAGCTCGTAAAACGTTATACCAAGAAAAAAATAAAACGTTTTGTTAATTAAGGCTATATTATTATGACGCCATGACGTCATAGTTTTTATGGCGTCATAGTTGGGACCCAAAATGGCGCCTCTAAATGAGTTGTCGTAACTTTCACTATTCAGGACAGGGCTTTGATATGAACCGAATATATCAGCCTATGATGACGTCATGACAGGTTGATCTGAAATATAACTGCTATGAACACCAAAGAAAAGTACTGCCGGTTGTATATTAAATAATAATCACGAGATATTAGCTTAACCTGATAGGATGTCTAAATGGTCTTGCGACTCTCTTATTCAAAGGGTTAACATTATGTAAATTTATCTTATAATACCCTTAACATGCTTAAAATATCTCCAAGTAAACTTCAGGGGCCTATTTCACAAAAACTTAAATCTCCATAAAATCGTCTTAAACTAAAATTCCATCCTAACTTAAGATAGATGCGTTTCACAAAACGATTTTAAGCATTTTAGTTAAAATCCACTAAAATAATATTGTTAGTTAAAATTGTATCTTAACTTAAAATAGTGGCGTTTCACAAAACTATTTTAGAGACAATTTTAAATAAAATCAATTTTAACTTAGGACAGCCGTCACCCTCTCCTAACTTAAAATCACGACATTAACAAACATTGATTAGAGCTACGTTGTGAGATCTATTGCGACATATATATATTTGGAATAATGATAATATTGCCAATGGCCCGGGTTATATAATTTTATACATACTATCATTCACAAACATAATTTGTATTCAATTTCTTTTCATTGCAGGGGGAATATAGCTGCGGCCCACCCGTTTATTTTATTGTAAGGCAATATAAGCAATTATATGAAGCCCCAAATTAAAACGCCAAGAACAAAAAAAGAACCAGTAAACAAAACTCTTTATTGCTGTTTAATATATTACCATATGATTCAAGTATAAATTATACTATTTTCAAATAATTAATAGGCAAAAAAAAACTAAAAAAGAAATAAATCAAACCCACTTCATATCTAACGTCTATAAAAACATCTTTGTATGCCTACAATTTAAAATGAGAGAGAGAGAGAGAGAGAGAGAGAGAGAGAGAGGGGGGGTTAACGTCCACTAGACACAAACTAGGTCATTTCGGGACTAACACATGGTTCAATTTTATTTGAATAATTCGCTTGCGCGTAGGGGTCTTTAGTAGTGGGAGGATACTGGAAGACCCGGAGAAAACCCACGAGGTTGGACGGGCGACCCTACTCCCTGTCACGTACAAGCCTATAATACTAGATACGCCATATGCAAAGTATTTATGGTTTTGGGGTTGTGATGATTTATATAGAAGCCAAGGGTATTTTATATTGGGGAAAAATCATTTTAATTTAGTAAGATAGATAGGCATTATCCAATAAGGAGTGTGGCACTTTGGCATTTTCAAATTATTATTGAAAGGATCCATAGGACTGACATTTCAAATCTAGGCACCGGAACATTGGTTATTTTGTGTATTAGTTTAAAAGTTATTAAATACTTTTAAAATTCGACAATACTTTAGTCTAGATTAATCGTTTGAGTCAGAAATATCACGTTTTTGACAATTTCTCAATAGTTTCTGTTATCCAAAATACCATATACTACGAAATTCAAGCGATTTAGTTTATCGATACGCATTATTTCCATTGAAGCCTGCGAGTAAATCAAATGCCAAGGTCACGAAAGGTACATGCAAGTTCAAGGTCAACCAACTGATACATTTCAAAACGAATAACACGCAATAAATTTATATATTTCATCTCTCTACGACTGTCTGACCATGTGCAGATATTGTTACAACGTATGTAACGGTTAGTTCAACCTGGCAATAGTTTTCAGTTCCGAAGCGTATATGATTACATCCTAAGTGCCCTCGCTGGAATTGTGCACACCGCGAGCGCAAGCAATTTTAACTAAAATCTATTAAAAATTATATTTTAAGTTACAATCGATCTTCGTGAAACGCATAAAATTTAAAATTTCAGTTTGATTTTAGTTAAAATCTATTTTAGTGATTTCAGTTTAAGTTTTTATGAAACGGGGTCCTGAACTGATGGTAGGTAGGTTTCTGGGGTGGTTTTACGTCCACTTCCACCTAAGGTGATATCGTAGACAAGAACTGAACTGATGATAAGGTTTGCCTTATATACGACAGAAGATATACGGTCAGTATTTTTACCGTGCCCGTCTTTAATAAACGTTTGACCTTCATCAGCGTATATAATTTATTTGGAACTCTATATTATTTTTATACCCCCCTAGAATATTCCGTGAGGACGTGAAAGATCCCTGAACTAATAGTATACTGAGCTACTTCCCCCACCCAAAAGTCCTAATTACTTAACAAAGGGTTAAACTTTCTCACCACTTTAAACTTTATCAACCAATTTAGTATATTAGGTAATCTCTGTCAGTATAAAAATAGGACACGGGGAAAGGCTACTGACATTCAATTCAAGTTCTGAACAAGGATTTAGCTGATGACTCATGCGAAGGTCATTGATAATAATTGCATTTGGATATTTCGGAACTAACATATGGTTCAATTTTATATCAATATTAAATTATCTTTCGCTTTGGTGTCCGTAGCAGTAGAAGGAAACCGGTGGACCACGAGATACCATTGGAGGCTTAACAGGCGATGCTTCGTCTTGTCATGAAATCCCGCACTTCACCCAGTGGCAGACCTTATGATCTAAACCTCGCGCGTTAAACCATTAAGCCAGACAGAGAAGAAGAGAAATAGGGTTTAACGTCCACTCGACACAAACTAGGTCATTTCGGGACTAACATATGGTGTATTTTTTTATTTCAACAATTCTCTTGCGTGTAGATGTCTTAAGCAGTGGGAGGAAACCAGAGGACCCGGAGAAAACCCACGCGGTTGGACAGGCGACCCTACTCCTTGTTACGTACAACTGGGGATTCGAAACCAAGCCAAGCCTGATTCAATGACAGGCCGTATGATACAGCGCGCATGTGCTAACCATTCGGCCATCCAACCCCCGCCCCTGCCATTAAGCAAACTTACCCTTTTATATTACGCCTCATCGTAACATGTTCACAAAGAAATTTACATATTGTTATTATGTTTGTTTATAGGACAACCAAGTTAGTTAATTGCCATGGAAGGGGATCTTTATGTCGACCTGGATAAAGTGTTGTACGTGACTGGCTACAGGGGACCATACCAGATAAAACAGTCTATTATATGCCTTTTAGCGAGTTTCAGCATTGCCATACCAATTCTATCTATAGTTTTTATTGGTAAGATTTTATTAACTAATTACCCGTCGCTATCAATAAACTAAAATATATTACTTGATGCAATATCAAAACATATGTGTTAAATGAAATATAGTTTCATTATCTGATTAAAATACAGATCTATGTTTCGTTTTGTTTTTTCATACTTTCGATGGCCTACACTATACATGAAGATCTGACCGGTTGTAGTAATTGGTCACGTCAGGGGTCGTACGAGCGGCTTTGACCCCATGACGTCAGACATTGATTAATCAATCAGCGTTGACAGTACCGTGAATGACACGCCGTATCAACCCATTTCATTGACTAATCCCTCACTTCAACCAAAACGCCGGTAAAACAACAACTCTTCCAGATCCGAGTGTCGCAAAGACAAGTAAAATTTTGAACTATAAAAAACGAAACGAAATAGAATCTGTGTTTTAATCAGATTATATAGTTTAACAGATTTGAGATCGTACCGGCGTTGATGAAATAAATATTAGAGGGTTGGGGTGTTGCGGGAAATACATGGTAAATTCTTTACATTTATAAAAAGTATGTGTTCCATTGAATTGTACCGACTCCTCATCTGGCACAAATGATTCTATTAATTAGCGCAAAGAGGGCACATTGAACAAATAATGTGGCACGATAAATTTGTGGAGAATGTGTGAATATTGTATGTGTTGTTAAGTTAATAGAGTTTATTGAATAATATCTTCCCGTTCATAAAGAAAATGTCTTAAAGTGTGTTTATGTTTACAACAGGATATGTACCGAAACATCGTTGTGCTGCCTTGCCTAATGTAACCTTCCTCCATGATTTTGATATCAACCCTGATCATGTAGTAGACGTGAAGATTGGTCAATGTTCTTTGGGTATCACAACTAATGTCTCTGGGATTGCGTCGCATGTAGAACTACCCTGTGTCAATGGATTTCATTATGATGTTGCTAGGGAGACATCTATAGTATCGGAGGTTAGTTTGGGGTAGTGGTTAATAATAGTTCCTTTCGGAACGGTGTCTGATATACGAAAGGAAATGTTCTCTCAAGTCGTACTTGACCTTCTTTATTAACCTGCAATATGAAAATACCGCCCAACACCTACCTCTCTACCAAGTCTATTTTTTTGAGTCCGTACCTTCTATTTGCAACATAATTATTATTTTCGTCAAAACGACGGCTTGCGCACCGCTATTATGCACATCTGACATTAATTTAAATTTCATCACTATTTTCAATTGAATTTTGAGATTAAAAAAAATACGTTCGAATTTATCCGCCTTAACGAGTCTCACGCTTGCGCAGGTTGCGTCCTTTTGTTTATTTTTTTAGGTCAGTTATGTTCGTTGCATGGAGTTTAATATTTCCTGTGGATGCCATATATCAAGGCAAGGCCGCATGGCCCTACTCATCGAGCGACCGTGACTTGTTGTTATGCGCTGATGCCAGTCAATTATTCTATATAATTGGTATTTTGTTCTTTGAATGACATTGGATGAACTGTATTAATTCGACTTTGCCTATTTCAGTGGGATTTGGTGTGTGACCGAGCTGGTTTAGCCGAGTTAAGTCAAACAATGTTGATGCTAGGACAAGGTATTGGTGCCTGTGTTTTCACATCTTTGGCTGATAGATATGGAAGGAAACCAGTCAATATGGTTTGTCAGCTAATACTGATTGTAGCATCTATAGGCTTGGCCTTTATTAATAATATTGGAGGATTCACAGCCCTTAGATTTATTATTGGTGCTGCTCAAGAGGTTGGTTTTAAAATATTTTAAAAATTAATTTATATACCATTGTAAGATCGATTTTGTACTGTTGAGTTCATGCGAGTATAATTGGTATATGCTTAATATTTATATTGCCGGGGGAGTGGGGGGGGGGGGGGGGTTCATTTCGAAAACAATTGTGTACTACCACGAACATGCCTACTAGACCAGATTATCCTTGTTGTTTACCAAAAAGTTTCAGTTTTAAGACCTCAGAAATAAATATATTGAAGTAATGGTGACGCTCTTGATGTTTCATTGTCACCATAACACCAAGACGATATATGTGATTAATTTTATATAGCATATTAAACATACATTATGCAAGAGCTAAATCTGCCTATTGTGTGTCTTTCTGTGGGTGAAATGTTATACAAACTATTAATTAGACATTAATTAACGTATCCAGACCATAATCAACTCTCGATGTCAACGCTAGCCTGCGATATTTGTTGGATTATGAACCGATTTGCTGCATAACTTTCCTTCTCGATTTAACGATTAAATGGATAATCGAGACTATGATTTTTGTCGTACCGACTTTAGTAATGATGACCGAGGCAATGCAGAACTTTCGATCGCTTATTTCTCGGTTCATAGTGGATCAATTTGACTGAATTTTTCAGCAAATTGCGTTACATTATCTAGTTTTTAACTTTTATAGTGAGAACTACCAACTCGTTATCTAATCTTCCATAAAGTATCTATAAGTAAAGCCATACCTATGTCAAATTATCGAACATCGAATCTTTGGCCTACATAAAATAACGTGTTTTGCGTGCGTGGTCGTGTAAACCACTAACAATGTGTTCGACACTAAGATGAAAAACTAAATATGCAGTATACATGTAAAAATAAACACACTTGTATGGATATACTACTTCTGAATTTTATTAACATGCTACGTTTGAATACACATACAGGTATCGTTGTATGTATATTGAAACGTAGCATGTTAATAAAAGTCAAAAGTAGTATATCTTTAATCTTGCACATAATATAAGTATAGACAGCAAACTTCAAAACTTCCAATACAAATATATCCATAAAATAATATATACAAATGCATTACTTTGTAAATTAAAGTTAACCGAATCCACTCTCTGCACCTTCTGTCAATCCCATATTGAGACAGTAAACCACTTATTCATTTTCTGCAGTTATGCCCAACAAATCTGGAGCGAAATGCTAGAAATTACCCTTAAAAGTAACATAAATATAACATTAACAAATAAAAACATCCATTTCGGGTATCCAGAAAAAACAAATTTCAGGTATCCAGAAAAAACAAATTTCAGTAATTTATATGAGTGGGACTTTGCAAACCATCTAATATTCTTAACCAAATACTACATATATAGATCTAAATTAGAAAACGTTAAGCCATCACTATCCGGATATAATGCTTTTCTAATGAGTAAAATCTGATTAGAATAAATCAAATATCTACATCCTAAATAAATGGAAATATGTAGAAAGCAACACATTATTGTAGAACTAGACTGGTCGCATACCCTTATCATTCAATTATCATTCAATCAGTATTATACAATTATGTGAACATATGAGAACCTTATAAAATCTTAGATGTACCATGCATTTTAATTCTTAAGAAGGTAGCTATTTATCTCCTCTCTATTTCGACTTTTTTTTTCGTGGAAAGGAGTGTAGCAACCTGTTTGTTTTGTTTTTTTTTGGGGGGGGGTTTGTTTTTGTCTTTTTAAGTACCCTCCTAAATATGTAAACTCCCTCATCCCAAGCAAGGGAGATAATATAGCTAGACGGGGGGGGGGGGGGGGGAGAGTTATAGACCAAATTTATAAAAGGACTATAGTAAAGCAGGGATTTTAAAAGTTTTTAAAAGGCATTTCTTATTTTACGCCTGAAGAAAAGGAATACAAGTATATTTAAATAATATCCCTGTCGTATATTGACTTACTTACTTTTTCAAATATATAATATAAACCGACATTCTTGTATATAACAATTAGAAATTATTAGAAATCATGCTGATGCTACAAATAATATATATATATTTGTTTATTTTTAATGTGTTGAAATAAATGTAAATTGTATATTTGTATATGACGTTTTTTTTTAAAATAAAATTATATTTAAAAAACAAATTAAAAAAAAATTTCATTCAAATTACTCTATTGCGAGCGAAGATATTAACATTTGAAGGTTTGACAAGACGTGTGCAATAATTTCAACCACCGTACTGGTTGTTCTAAGTTTCGCTCCTCCATTTTTAGCTTAAATCAAAATATGGCTGAACTGTTCTAATCTATTTAATATCGGAAAAAGCCGATGCGACCGAGAGTTGATTATGGCCTGGATAAGTTAATTAATGTCTAATTATTAATTTAGAAATCATTTCAGGCCTAAAGAAAGACCTGCAATAGGCAGAGTTAGCTCTTTCATAATGTATGTTTAAGTACTTGGTCAAATATACTATTCAAACAAAGTAGGGGATATTTGATTATTAAATGTTATTAAAGTCACCTAATGAAACTGACGAAGAAACAAATGACAAAATGAAATGAAGTTCACATTCATCGATTTATTCCAAATGATCGTTAGACTAATAAAATAATATACTATTCAAAAAAAGTAGGGGATATTTGATTTTTAAGTGTTATTAAAGTCACCTAATGAAACTGACGAAGAAACAAATGACAAAATGAAATGAAGTTCACATTCATCGATTTATTCCAAATGATCGTTAGACTAAGTAAGGCACAGACTGACCATTATAAGGGTAAAATGATACCCGGGGTCAAACAGCAAAGTTACCACAGCATCACAACCAAGTCAGTAACGGGTAAATCCTCCTCTGTTTGCCAAACAAGCATTGATCCGACGTGGCATACTCCTAATGAGACGTCTAAGGTCATTTTGGTCCAGATTGTCCCATTCCTGTTGCAACGCAGCAGCAAGTTCTTGGACATTGGCAGGACGTTGTTGACGTTGACGTAACCTCTGTCCAAGCATGTCCCAGACATGCTCGATGGGGGAGAGGTCGGGACTCAGTGCTGGCCAAGGTAATGTGGTGATGTTCTGTTGTTGGAGGTAACCTGTAACGATCCTGGCCCTGTGACATCTTGCGTTGTCATCCTGGAAGATGAAACGGCGGCCATGACGTCGTGCGAACGGCACAACATGGACTGCCAAGATGTTGTCCCGGTAGTACTGGCCTGTAACACGCCCTGCAACAACATGTAAAGCCGTTCTTCCAGCAACAGTGATGCCTCCCCACACCATAACAGAACCACCCCCAAATCGATCATGTCTGATGACATTAACGTCTTGGAAGCGCTCGTTTCGACGACGCCACACCCTCCTACGTCTGTCCAAAAAATCAACAGTGAACCTTGACTCATCTGAAAACATCACATTGCTCCAGCGTCGATTATCCCAGTGTTGACGATCCCTACACCAACGACGTCTTGCCTGAATGTGATGATCTCTCAAACAAGGGATCACGCGAGGACGTCGGGCGCGAAGGTGACCCCTATGCAGTCGATTCCGAATCGTCTGGCCACTCACTCTCACACCAGTGTCTGTTTGAAGACGAGCGCTGATCTGATTTGCTGTGATGACACGATTTCGCAAGGCCAAGGTACGGATAAATCGATCCTGGGCTTGAATTGTCGCCCTTGGTCGACCTGAGCGTGGTCTGTCCTGTACAGATTGTGTATCACGGTATCTGGACCATAGCCTGCTTATGACAGACTGAGAAACATTCATCGTCCGCGCCACACCCGCCTGTGTTGTGCCGATCTGTAGCATTTTGGGTAAGCCGACGCATATCAAAATTTGTTTTCTGGTCACTAAAACAATTAAACTGATGTTTCCACCCTGGAATTCAATGCCACAATGACTGTAACATTCAAAGTCAGAGTCGTGCAAAACTTGGGTTGGACCCCCGTGATGATCCCAAGCATCACCTGCATTCCATGCGGTAGATATTGATGCGTTTGGGCGTCACATGTAACTGGAAATGTTTCTTCTGTTAGGTTCTATAGTGACTTTTTTCGTAGTCATTTGCATATATTAGTATTATGCCCCCAAAATCAAATATCCCCTACTTTTTTGGAATAGTATATGATCAAATCCAAAAATATTTGTTACCTACCTAGATCAAGTGTCTTTTTTTATCGAGTATACACAATTTAAGACGAGTACAATAACAGGTTAAGTTAATTAAAGTCTTTAACTTTATATCATCCACAGTCTTGACATAGCAAACACGACTTATTGGTCAATTCAACATTAATGTTGGGATCTTACCATAAAATGGTGGTCAATATAAATCAACATTGATGTTGTTATCTTACCGTGAAATGATCGTCAATTTAAATCAACATTGATGTTGTTATCTTACCGCGAACAGATGGACGTCTGATATCCAATATTTAAGACAAAATGAAAATGTTAAAATTAGCACACCAATCGCGTGCCAGAATGCTTTCAAGCAACATTTGTAATGAAGCCACACGATGAATAAGGCTAAACATATACCACAGGGGGATACTACCTGAGTAGACTAGAATAACCAGACCCCAAAGACAGCCATTCAATTTGGACTCGCGTATTTGGCCGAATATAACTGATTAGAAATTACAGTAAAAAACAGAAAGAATTGAAAGTAAATCAGTTTATATATGCATTCATATAACATTATTATATGCGTTGCGACCCATTTTTGTTCATTTCTAGATGCCAAAGAATAGAGATTTATATCCTTTAATCACTCGTTATACTCCAGTGCTAGTGAACACTAGGTACACGTAGCTGTCCATTTCAGGGTCTTAGTTTGACAGCCTATTCCATATTTGTGGAGATGTGCACTACTAACATAAGACCATTTGCTGGTTTTACTGGTGGGTTAGCTTGGACTACTTCTATTATGATGCTTGCTCCTCTGGCCTACTTGATGCAGAATTATAGCTGGAGATACTTTCAATTAGCAACTGTGGCGGAAATAATATATGGGTTAGCTATTTATTGGTAAGTGTGGGTGTCTGGTGCACCTTCTAATTCCAAGACTCGTATGAGGATTCGAATAAGCACAAACCGGGAATCGTATTTAAAAACATAATATACAATATGTGTTCCAATTAATTAAATCTGTGTCATTTAGAAACTTGGAAGGCAATTGAGAGCAAAATGCATCCTTGTCATCTGTCTTTTGGCTCTGAAAGAAGGTTTAGTTACTCCAATAATAAAAAAAAACAATTCTTGGATCCTGAATGTATAAATAATTTGAGGACAGTTTCGAATCTGTCTTTAATTTTAGGCCTGTTTCGAATCCGTATTTCACTTCCAAATTAATAGAGAAGGTTACATATAGATCTATCTAGTGCTGATGAAATGTTTCAAAAGACACAATAACGAGCCAGCAATTTTACGAGTAAAAATTGACATGCTAAAGTAAGATCGAGAGCTGAGTTCTTATTTTGCTTGACTTGAGCGCTGCGTTCGATACCGCTGGCTATCAAATTCTACTAAACATATTGGCAACACAAAATTGGTTCGAATCTTATCTCTCTGGACGTACGAAAAGGATCTCAGTTAACAAAACTGTTTCTGAATCAGGTGAACAAAAATATGGTGTTCCTCAGGGATCAGTGCTAGGACCATTACTTTTCACCATAGGGTGTATAATCAGTAGAAATGGGATTGACTTCCATCTTCAAGCAGATGATTAGCAATTATATATCTCTTTTTAAAGCCGTTTTTAAATAGTTTTACCTTGGAAATTGTTAAACGTAAACTAAAAACATAACTTTTTATATGAACTTTTTGAAGTAATAATAACTTTTATTATCGTTAATAACTTTTAACTATTGCTGTATGTGTATTTATTAAAATGTTAATAGTTCACTTTTTCTAAAAACTTCTGAAATTTTTCTAAGAACTTCTTTATAATTTTTATTGCGTTTGTTTTTTTTATGTGTATTTAATGTTGTTGTATTGGCGCTATCAAGCAGCTTTTAGGTGGATTTGGGGCGCCTTATCAAAAAATAAATTATTAATTAATTTTACATACATTGTAAGACAATGAAGAGCAGAAAATCGTTTCACAACAACCCATATACTATGTCTTTAAAATGTTTAGGGTGTTGAATCAAAATCTTTAATCTACATGTACGTAAACAATCATTTAAATGCTTAAATAATAAGACTTGTTTTTAATATTTTAAGGATATTTGACGAATCTCTACGATGGTTGGTTGCCAACAATAAAATAGCCAGAGCTGAAGCTACAATAAAGAAAATTTGCAAAGCAAACAAAACGGACTTTGAAAAAGCAAAAGCTGTCCTTTACGAACAAATTGTAGAGTGTAAGCGAGCAGCCGCTAAGAGCAAACACCACCACGAGTTGGTACCAACTATAGCAAAGGATGAACAAGTCAATCTCATAGAGAACAATGGTAGTCCATCTGCAGGAGAAACAGCTTTGTCCGGTATGGTGGAACCCGCGAAATATACAGTACTGGACATACTGAAGCACCGCGACATTCTTAAAATCACAACCATCCTTAGTTTTATTTGGTAGGAATCAACAATTTATTTAAATGTTGGCTCGCAAACCTGGGTTTGACGCGAAAGTTCATCTGGATTTCCGGGGTGGGTTCCCCATGTCAGTGGTACAGGATAGAGGTCCTTGCAAGTGACAAGGTATAATCGTTGGGCTAAAACTAATATCCCGAGGCGATGTTTTGAATGGTTTAATGTTCAAACATTGTGTATATTATGTTCATTGTGGGATTGTCGTAACTTAAAAGAAATACGCAATATCATTTAGAACGCAATAAGTCTGGTTTATACCTTTAGAAACATTAGTCCGATCATGGGCATTTACGGCGTAAAGATACATTTACTCGAAAGTATTTATAGGGTAGTTACCAATAACAGTATGGTAAATTTGGTATAAATAGAGAGTACAGACGAATATCGGATTCTCTGAAGAACACTCACAGGGCAAGCACTGCGAAAAATGTCAGGGTATCATTAACTGGACACCCGAAGGCTTTTTGTCTGCCATCTTGATTAAGGGAGCGCTTGTTATTTCTTGATCAAATGGTTTGGCGGTTTTGGGAACATTGAGGGGTTTAAACATACAATAGACTATGCAATTAAACAACGCATAAAGAAGTTGGTAGAAGATAATCCAAGAATTTAACTAAGGCTTCAATATGTATGACCAATTGAAAGTAAGTAACGTCCAATAAATATTTGAAAATGGACCCTCCCTCAATCAAGTTACATGATAAACATGGCTTTTAAAAATGGACATTTTATGTCTTGGGTACGTATCCTCTCGCGAATACAATGTTTTGAGAGGTATTTGAAGGAAGCAATTTTGTGATAGATTAATTAGTTTGAATATGGTTTTAGTCCAAATATATCCACAAATCACCCAGTTTGTGCGTGGGAATGCATCTTTAGATAAGCGGAGTGATAAAGTTTGATTGTGAAGTGCTCTATAAAAAGATAAATGTGCAAGTCATTCAAGAGTGGCATCTGATACTTTTAAGTTTAAAGGGACAATAACACTCTTGCTGGCTTGAAAGCTCCAGAAAATAAATAATATCTCTATCTAAGTACTAGATGTTTAAGTGTCCTACCTGTTGTGTAAATTATCCATTACATCCTATTTTTCTTGTCCAGAGGGTTCGAAAATATTTTTAAATCGAAGTTTCACTTAAAAAGGTTTACGTTAGACGTTTCAAACCATTATGTTGATTTTTTCAAAAATTTTAAATAAGGTGTGTTAAGATGAAATTTGTATCATCAATTAATTGAAATATTCTAAAATAGAACAATTTGTTGACCAGAATAAAGATTGGGACATATTATTCAGTTACAACAAGAGTGGTATTGAGCCTTTAAGGCGTGAAAACCAGACTCACTGCATGCTTGTGCATAAACAATTACTTTGTATTTAATACGTAGTATGGCCTTTCCAAAATCTGGTTTGAATTTGTTTTACTTTATCTTGAGACACACGTTCTTTTGTGAAATACACTGAGGTTGTAGTTCAATAACCAGGCCTGTCAATAACGGTTGAAAACAGAGCATACCGCTACATCACACACTGTCTATTGGTATCTGGGATATAGTAAATGTGAGCTAACTGCACCTGACTTGTATCTTCGACCCGCAAACTATGCCCTGAATATTAATTGTATAAATTGCATCATATTGTAACTCCCACACTACATTATATTTCAGGGCTGTAAATAGTTTGACATATTATGGCTTATTCTTGACCTCATCTTCAATGTCTGGTAACAGATTCCTCAATTATTTTCTTAATGCACTGGTCGAGATCCCGTCTATGTTCGTAGTTTTCTTTTCATTAAAACGGTAAGATCGCCACCTTGAAGATCCCTATATTGTATTGCGTGTCACCAAGTATTGATGAGAGAGAGAAGGGAGAGAAAATGGGGTTTATTGTCCACTCGAAATTTCGGGATTAACATATAGTTCAATTTATATTTCAATAATTCCAATGCGCGTGGGAGTCTGTAGCAATGTGTGGAAATCGGGACGCCCGGAGAAAACAGGCGACTCTATTCCTTGTCAAATCACTTTGATGTTAAATCTTTAGCCCCCCCCCCTCCCCCTACTTCGTTTCGTTTTTTATAGTTCAAAATTTCGTTTCACTTGTCTTTAATACACTAGGTCGAAAGTATAAAAAAACGAAACAAAATATAGATCTGTCTTTTAATCAGATTGCCTAAGTCTTGTAGGCGGTGCATTTCTCTCCATATCAGCAGGCCTGACTAGGACAGCTGTCTAGTCATTCGGATGAGACGAAAAATCGAGGTCCCATGTACACATTGGCGTGCACGTAAACGATCCCTTGTCAGTTAGAATTCGATATAAGAGTAGTCAGTAGTGCCGCTATCCGGGCAAAGTTTCCCTCATAGCACATTGTATGGCGTATGCATAGGCGTGCACGTAAACGATCCCTTGACAGTTAGAATTCGATATAAGAGTAGTACGTAGTGCCGCTATCCGGGCAAAGTTTCCCTCATAGCACACTGTATCGCTTATGCCCGTCTTCATTAGCCCAGTTCGGAGCAAAACATTAGGATGTTAAACCCCATTTCATTTCATTTCATCTCATATCACCATCCGCAGACGATGCCGATTGTTGCGAAATTGTCCTTCGTGTATTTGTAACTACCAGGATACTCAGCTTCGCAAGCGGCCAATATTTGCCTGGGGCCCAATTCGCCCGGGGCCCAAACTTGCTGAGCGGTCCAAATTCGCCCAGAGCCTAAATTCGGTGGACTAAATAAATCATTATACTTGTCCGAGAATAAAGGCCGATTTCCATGTATGCGTTTTCGCCGGCGAAATAGTCGGTTTAATTCAAATGTAAAGGGACCATTTTCACGTAACCTCGAAAACGGCGCACCACTCGAGTAATCATGTTCTTGGAGACCATTAACAAGTTTCTAGATTTTTTAATCGAATTAGAAAGACGAATTTCGGTGTATTAATTATATAAATTAAAAACACTTATATGGATATACTACTTCTGAATTTGTGAAATCTACCTCTATACCTCTATATGTCTTATAAGGATTGTTAATTATACTTTTTAATATTTTTCTTAGTATTGGCAGAAGAACACTTGGTGTGTTGTTACATGCTTTAAGTGGCTCAACATTAATTATATCTGTGACCTTAGTGGCTACAGTAGGTAAGTATAGTTAGCATCGTACAGCTGTTATTGGAAATTAAATTATCGTTCAGCAATTGTAAGTAATGAAATAGGGTGATTATGTTTTACCTCTGGTTAAAGCCAAATGGTGTGGGTATGGTTAAAAACTGTCTAAAGACAGTCCAATGGTGCGAACATTGTTTATCAGTCGGCAGAGTAAGTCATCATGGTCTGAGTAATGTTTATCACTGGAAAACCTATGTCACCCTATTATGGTTTATCATTATGCAAAGCAAGTCACCATATGGTGGGAGCATGATTTAACATTATGTAAAGCAAGTCACCATATGGTGTGAGCATGGTTTATCATTATGTATAGCAAGTCACCATATGGTGTGAGTATGGTTTAAAACTGCATATTTAGTCATTTTGCGCGAGTATGGTTTTTCACTGGGCAAAGTCAATCATCATAAGGTGCGAATATGGTTTATCACCGGGCAATAAAGTCATAATACCTGATGCGAGCAGTCTACATCCGCACTATTATAAGTTTTAGAATTATTTTTTTTTTTTGTTACAAACAATGTTAGTCTGAAATATTTCGTAACTTTAGTAGCGAGTTCTCAATGGTGATAATTTAAAATAATATTTGAAGATTAAAATCCTTATAAAATCGGTCTTTTCAAGTATATTTGATTTCGTGTTGTGAACGAGGACTGAATTTTACTTTGAACATATTTTCAGGAACTACCTCTGCTGGATCTATAGGAAGTGTGATATTCTCTCTTGTGGGAAAGTTCGCAATCACAGCTTCTTACAACTGTCTATTTGTATTCACTCCAGAATTATTTCCCACAAATATGAGGTATTTTTATGTTTGATGTATGTCACTAATTGGTCCGCATCTTCATTGTCCCATTCGGTACAGCACTGCAGAACGTTAAAACCCATTTCATTTCCTTCGTGGGATAATTATGTATGCCTGCTAGGCGTCCGGATGGAAGCGTATAGCCACACAGAACAGGCGGGGACCAAGAGTTCGGATGAATCACGCAGTCATGTTTTTATCGCCAAAGTTCTTTCATATAAGGCCCTTTACTGGGACATGATATGGCAAGATGACGAAGTCGAGTTGGGTGGAGGAGGGACTAGGAGATAGGGCATTGCTGCTTTCGGTGACAAAGACGACGGATTTGACACCGATAACTTCTCTCAGTGGGGGACGATCTTTTTGGCACCTGATTTGTGTATTACCATGCAATCGTACATTTGTTTGTGATCGAAATCCTGTAACACTATGTAACACTTTCCCATCTACTCACTTAATTGAGTATTGTGTTTGGATATAAAAACAGTGATAATTTGGTAAAACATTGGTTTTCTCCTTTCCATTGTCAAAATATTTATCAATTACTATCTGTTTATGACATGTGTTTGATTGACCGAATAAGGTAATATTCGCCTCGGAGTATGTGGATGTTTATTCCATATTTGGGAAGGAAATTAACGCCAAGGCCAGTTTATGACGTAAAGAAATTAGGGGGTTATAAAGGAGAGTGGTGAACGAAATTCATCGGAGCTCACCCGGTCTATCAGAACAGCCATCATCTATACTTTATTGGGAACAAGCAACATCGAAGCCAAGCAGTTTTAATAATACAGTTGTCGAAACGAATTAACCTGTAGTTACATTTACCATCACGAAGAAACACAACAAAGAAGTCCGGTATTACTACAATCTACATCCAAACATACATATGGATGTTATACATTTAATTTGTCATAGATACGTGTTTTAAAACTATTGGGAGGGGGGGGGGGGGTGGACGGCTGAATGGTTAGCACGTGCACGCTGTATCATACGGTCTGTCATTGAGTCAATTGGCGGGGTTTCGATTCCCCGGTTGTACGTGACAACGAGTAGTGTCGCCTGTCCAACATCGTGGGGTTTCTCCGGGTTCTCCGGTTTCCTCCCACTGCTTAAGACCCCTACGCGCAAGCGAATTATTGAAATTTAATAATTGAACCATGTGTTACTCCCGAAATGACGCAGTTTATGTCGAGTGGACGTTAAACCCCATCTCTCTCTCTCTTTCTCTCCATTTAATTTGTCATAGATATTTGTTTTAAAACTATTAACCATTGTGTCCGAATATATATTGACAGGAATGCTGGTATAGGTATATCGTCAGCTGTATCAAGAGTTGGTGGAATCGTAAGCCCCTTTGCAGCAACATTGGTAAGAGATTCTTAACCTCATCCCAAATTGATCCTGTCAAGCTGTCAAATTTGATATGCTTTAACACGTAAAATTCCCTTATTTGAAACTGGGGATAACTTAATACCCTCTGTCACCTGTGTAAATTTAAAAACTGTTATGTCGCCCAAGAAGACTCTCCGGTATTAATTAGTGGTCACCTGTTTTGACCTTACAGTATATATTTCTTATTAGTTCAACTTATAAAGTCGAACGATGGCTTGAAATTTGTGATACCCTAATTGGAAACTGATGATATTTCTAAGGGTTATAGTATATGCAAACTGTCCTACTGTCCAAAGAGAACGCCCGGTATTAATTAATGCTTTGTTCTTTTGCCATAAACGTTTTGTAATTGCATCTTTTAGAGTCAGATTATAATTTGGGGACCAGGGGTGGTGTTTGGTTCATGCTGTGTTTTGGCATCTATGTTGTTTTTCCTGCTACCAGAGACAAGAGGAAGGGAGTTACCTACCACAATAGCTGAAATGAGAGAATGGAGTAAACAGAAAGAACAAGTTTCAGAAATATGTTTAGAAAAAAAAACAATGATGATACAATAAATTCCCCGTATTGTATATATTGATCAATATTAAAAGTCCACTGCGTTTATTTCATATTTTTTATTACGTAAACTTTTTTAGAAGGCCAGATTCGCGCAGACATTAGTCGCGTGTACTTAGCCTGCTCATCGCACGCGTATCACACCTGGGAAATCCTAACATAATGACGTATCTGCGTCTGTATGAGATGGATCCTTGTTGCGAACTGACCCCTACCTGTGCCTGTCACGCATATTGTTAAGTATGAATTTACCATCGTTTGATTTAAGTTTTTTTTATATTAAATATTTGAATATAATTCAGTATTGAAATAAATCATTTCCCAAAATGAGTGACCAGACGTAGATACTCACTATAGATTTTAACATTTAAAGGGGAAGCCTAACAATTTTCAACATGGTTTCCATCAAATTTAAATATATATTTAGAAATGCAATATCATTACTTTAGTTGGGGGGTTTGGTGGCCGAAAGGTTGACGCGTGCGCGTTGTATAATAAGGTATTTAATTGAATCACGTGGCGCGATTTCGATTCGCCGCTAGGGTCGTCTATCTAACCTCGTGGGTTTTCTCTGGGTCCTCCGGTTTCCCCCTTACTGCTAAAGACCCCTACGCGCCAGCGATTGATTGAAATACAATTGAGCCATATGTTTATTCCCGAAATGACCCAGTTTGCGTCTAGTGGACGTAAGCCCATTTCCCTCTTTCTTTCTGATTACTCTAATTATTTTAACCTGTTTGGTTTTGATAGCAGCAATGTGCTTGATCAGATTAGTATTCTACACCAATATGGAGTGACTTCGGCAAATGAATCTGACGAAGAGGTCGGTGCTAATGTCATTGATGAAAATGTTGATGAGGGTCAGATTTGTTGAAACATTACTTGCAGAGGGAGGAAATGGTACATCGTTACATAGTACCGAAACCCATTAATTTAATGCGATATTAACCAGGCTTTAAGAGGACGTGAAACTCTTAAGTACTTCTTATGTTGTTCTGATGTCGGTGGTGGTAATAAAACCAAGGTCGAAAGCGACGGGAATTTCAATTACAAAATGTTAGATTAGTTCGAGTCACTTGTGATCCGGACGACTCCTGTCTGATTTGACATAAGAAATGATGACATATTAGGGGCAGTAAATCCGCCAACTGATAGACAACCGACAAACCTATATAACGTCTTACCATCAATCATGCTTTCTTTGATGATAGACATGCAATAATTAAACCCTAGATATTCCTGTGTAATATTTCCCAGACATGGAAGTCCGTATTAAAACTTTGTTGGATACTGATGTGTCTACACAAAGCAGCGGTATATAGGTTGATTTATGTTTTAATTTATTGTCTGGCTGTGTGGAAATCATCAAAGAAAGATCATGATGTTTTTGTGATTTAGAAACTTTGATTAAAATGCTTTTCCGCTTGGCAGCTTTCGCAGCACACCATTTTAGTCTAACAAATAAAACATTTTATACGGGACAATTTCACGTGGATGTATTTTGTCGTCGGCTCTGTCCGCCTGGACGTCCGTTCACATTTTGTTTGTGGACACTATATAGGTCACAACTTTTTTTTTATCCGATTTTGATGAATATTAAAATGTATATTTATTTCCCAAGGATCTTGGTTCCTATTGATATTACCGCATTTCGAACCGCAACATCCTAGATTATGGCCTGTTACATAATGACAGATGTTATAGATTCTTCGTGCCATCTTTAATATCAACCTGTCTGCTATCGACACCCATGTTGGCCCTGATGGCATTCATTAGTCATTTCCATAATATAAACTTATCGTTTGCCTTTGTTATTAATTTACTTTGTCTTATAAGCAAACTGTACTCGAGTGTTAAATCTGATATGATGCAGGAGCCAAATGAGAACCTTTATCTAGAAGGCTTTATAAACCCAGAATGGAAAAGTGATCAGCAGACTAGATGAGACTAAGCGAGGGCGTCTAAAAGTTAACTTGGGACCGAGTTAGTTGCGAGTTGGCACCCAAGGGTGTCAAGTCGAGCTAGGACCATGGCTCCCCCAACACACGCTAGCTACGGAGTCTTAAGTTTTGTACATCATATGTTTAAAGAAGAATAAAAATATCTGATAAATTTAAACCAGTTTTGTCCTCAAGAACATGACTTAAAGATCCGATACTTTAACAGGCCTTCTATGTTTACAAAAATCGCTGGCTTCGCGTGTTCTCTGTCTATCGCCTGAAAAAATGTGGGCGTATTTTGCATGGCAACACAGTGACCTGTGGATACATGGGCAACTAGCAGGTTCGTCAAAATCTGGCGATTGGGGTGTCGAATGGTCTAACGCGTGCGCTTTTGATTATATATTTTTCAATGAGTCAAGTGGCGTAGTTTCGATCCAATACTTGTATGTGACAAACCTCGTGGGCTTCCTACGGGTCCACCAGATTCGTCTCACTGTTAAAAAACCCTGATTGCGAGCGAACTATGGAAGTAAAATTGAACCATATATGTTAGTTCGGAAATAAACTGGATAAACCCTAGTTCTCTCTCTGTCGTCAAAATCTCAATTCAAAGTACACCCAATGCTAGAATATTTGTAGAAAGATTCCAATGAAATCAGTGTAATTTTTTCGAAAAACTTTATTCCATCGATAAAAATAAAGACAATACAAAACAATAAATACTAAATTGGCAACACTAAAGCTATAACAATTTTCTTTTTTTAAAAATAAGAACATGTTATACATCTTATATTATTAATATAGATCGTTTTCACAAAAAATATACTTATATTTACATGGATTAAAATATTTGTTTTTTTTAAAAAAAATACTAAGGAATAATTTACAGATGATCAAGCTATACATAATATTCAGAGGGGTAAAATAAAAACTACAATCGGCTAGTGTCTGTACAAGTGAGTAAACATCTCTGTTATCAACAGTTTGTAATGGCGGCCGTGAAATGTATGTTATGCAGTTTAAATCATAATAGGGACCTTTCGCATCGGTACGAAAACGTCATCGATTTGTGTGTACTTGTGACGTCAATCTGAGTGTTCGGCCAGTATGGAGCTGAATTTACGTAGGTATGCAAACGAATATGTTTCTTGTCTCATATTTGTATTGAATATTCCCTCATTTATCCAGGCTTTGTGTATATTTTTGATTGTGCACAGTTTGTAGAATGTGTTCAAAAGCAATATTCTGCTTGATTTGTTGTACATTTGCCAAAAAATCCATTGAAAACTTTGCCTTGACCGAGAAGTTCATGGAGTGGAAATTAACGCTATCTAGCTATTATCGCACGTTGGAGTTCGTTTTCGTACCGATGCGAAAGGTCCCTAATAATTCTAGCTAGTTTTTAAATGGCGAAAGCAATGACTTGTTTGTCGACGTGTAATGTCCAAATTGTGCCTTTCATAATAACACTAGCTAGTTTTTAAACATCTTAAAAGTTATCATTTCTAAATTTTCGGTGTAAGTAATTTAGATACGTCTAAGATTAGTTTCGGTGTTTTCCGTTGAACGGACCTGTATCTGGCTCATCGAGAACTTTAAACGTGAAGACATAATGTTCTTGTTCACAGTGAGAAGCCATGTTGATTTGAATGCAAGTTAAATGCACAGCTAACACTGGCCAACGTCAGTGCGAAAACAAGACCAGTTATCAATAAATAGTCGACCTTCATTAGCCCATTCGGTGCAAAACGTGGGACGTCTATGACAATTGTCCCCTGACGGTTGAACTTTGATTTAAGAGTAGGCCGTAGTGCCGCTGTCCAGGCAAAATGTCCCTCATAGCACAATGGATGGCATATGTCCGTCTGCATTAGCCCATTCGGAGCAGAACAAGGGGAAGTTAAACCCGATTTCATTTCATTCCATTTTATTTTAAATCTTAATCTGGAAAATATTTCATAATTTAATAATTTCTCCATTTACCAGGCGCTTAAAATCCAGCCCAAAGCTGCCCGGTAGTGTCAAGAGCTGCCAGGTAGCGTCAAGTAGGGTATATGGGTATAATCATAGTGTCCAGTGGTGTAGTGTCCATCCCTATATTGTACTTTGCGAACCTTTAGACATAAGAAAAAAAGAAGACGAAATGTCGAGATGTTTTAAGATGGGTTCTCGACTTGTCAGGTGTTTTCGGATGGTACGAGCAATCGCAGTCCCGTAGATAAATCAGAGTGTAGAGTATACAAAGAGTATCCCTTGGTAATTGGAATTCGAAAAAAGGTGGGTGGAAACGTCCATCTCCCACACACCACCTAATCATTGTACATGTGCCCCATATAGTTAAACATTACCGTAAGCTAGTCGCAAATGACAGAAGTAAAATGACGAATAATCAGGAACTGCAGGGAAGGAACAAAAACATTATCAACCATCACCAAACAGACTTCGTGACGATTTACAGACAACATAATTTTCCTCCGTCGGTCTGGTCTGGTCTGATTTTTATCGACAATTTCACCTTTTTATATCGTCCAAAAAATACTCTGAAACTGAATTTATCGGCAGAACATTTCATGATAAGAATTTAACCATATTTAAATCTGTTTGTCAATGCTACACACCAAGAAGTGGATACTTATTTTATGGATCACAATATAGGTTTCTTTTCGTGGACCTATACGGATACTATGGCTATATTTACAATTGGTAACTGGCGAACAAACAGTTTTGTTACATGATTTATTGTAACGGAACCTCCAACGGTTCTGAAAGATATGAGAATTTCCATACTGAGTTAGTCACGGACACACATCTTATATCCACCCCACCAACTAACGATGGGTAAGATTGTTGTAACAGACAGATGTTTCTACTGGTCAATCATCAAGTCATCTTTAAACGGCCAACTGCCTGTCTTGCGGTAAATAGAGTGGCGTTGGCGTGGACACTCAAACTTCAATGTAAAGCAACAGGTTGCGATTATCTCTTAATCGTCACACTATCTACCAAATGGCTAACCAAGAGAGTACAGCATTGCTTAGCAAACATATAAACATTACTATCGGCTTCTTGTGTGGTCAAATCATGATATCATACCGTATGTCGTTGTCTTTCTCGTTGTTTGAGCAGAATGGCGCATCTTTTATCACCGAGGTCAAGTCTTTCAGAACCTTGATACAGTCGTTTTAGTAGTACTTGGTCTACGCGACAAGGCTCCTTTAGAATCAAACGAATCGAACCGTGTCCTCCTGTACGCCTTCCTCTGCATGCGGAAACAGAGATAACACAAGCATTTCTTAAAGTTACGACGAAAATTCTGGCTGAATATACAGTAAAGAACTGGATTGGCTGCTGAATTGACATGGGTCATTGTCATGACGAAAACCAGGAAAGGCCAGCCTGTGGGTAGTGGTGTGGTAGAGAAGGTGTTATAAAATAAATGGACTTGGATTGGCGAGTAGCTTATAAAGTATATCACAACACTAACAATTAACATTTTTACTACCCCTTTCCGGGCTCGTATAGTTTCGTAGGCTCTGTCTGTCCGATTTCTAGAGTTCTGTCGCATTTGGAACTTAGTGGAGAGTTCTTCGGTACTGGCGTAAAGTCGCCGCCCGATTATAGAATAAAGAACAACTTGTGTTATGATAGGTATTATATAATAGAAACAACTTTCCAAATATTTAAAGGCGAGAAATGTTGAATGGTGTCCGGTCGGAAAGATCAACTGACACAACGACACTGGATGTCCTGGTGCAAGGGGCACAACTATGTTGAATAAAACGGTAGGTAATCCACAACAAACTGCGATTGGCCAGATAGAAGCAACAACTCCAATGATCTTCTTTCTTGTACACAGGATGTGCGCCTTGATGGGAAACACAATGGCGACAAACCTGAAAAGACAAATTAAACAAATAAATAAAATATACCAAAATAGATTAAATATTTGTTTTGTCGTTTTTTTTTGTACAACCACATTTTAGTATGGTCGTACATAACCTTAAATGAGGATGCCTTATCATTTTCAACAATCCTCAGTTTTGATGAGGGTCGCGGTATCCGTTTGCGTAAAAGTTTTGCTGGCTAACCTGGAGGTTCCGTTTTCGATCCCGGTGTTGACGAGAAATTCGGGACAAAATTTTCTAATAGATCAATGTATGGTTTTTGCCCGTCTTCATTAGCCTAGTCGGATCATAAATAGAAGACTCTAAAGCCCATTTCATTTTATTAAATCACGCATTTCTTGGTCGAATACACTATATAGGCCACACTGCACGATACGTGAGTTGCTAATCTCATTTCAAGGAAAACGTCTATAGATTACCAGTATAATAGACTACGGAAATAAATGCCATAAAGAACGAGTCACAATAATTGTAGCCTCTGTGGTGCTAACAATCAATATGTTTTTAAAATTGATATGGGTTGTCTTATCTCATTGAAACGTAGAATCCTATAAACTTTCATTATTTTTCGATAATCACCGCCAGAGTTATCCTTCTTTGTTAATATGTCTTACCAGATCGTTATAGGATTTAGTGATGAACGCATCTTTCTGAAATGTAAACGGATTGTCTATCCTTTGTATATAGCGTCCGACTAGGCTAATGACGGTGGGGGAGGGAGAATGCTACTGATGCGCAATAATGTTCAATCAATTCCAAGGTTATTCTCCACTATCACAAAATCTTTCTAGCACCTGAAGGGTTTTCATAATGATCCGATCCTTTTGAATTTGTTTGTTATGAGTCGTTCATATCTTTTCGCAATATTGGTGCCTGTAGCGTAGTTATGATTTCTTACCGATATGTGGAAACATATAATAAAGAAAGAGCCGCGAGCGGACCAAACCAAATAAAGGTTTTGAAGCTTGCCATGAACAAATATAAGATCTTCTGTTATAAAAGGGCATGTTGATGGACCTTTTGGGATTATATTACATTTTACATAACATTGGCATCTAGTAGTAAGATTATTGGATATTTCTTGTCTGATAGGCCGTAGTGCCGCTGTCCGGGAAAAGTTACCCTCATAGCACACTGTATGGCATATGCCCGTCATCATTAGCCCAGTTAGGAGCAGAATAGTATGACGTTAAACCACATTTCATTTCATTTCATTTCTTAATGAAATACATTATGATACAACGCGCATGCGCTAACCATTCGGCCATCCATGCCCCCAAGGTATACATATGATAAATTGATGAGGATAATACAACAATCATCTTGTAATCAGTGTTAATATTGGGAGGCGTCCCAATTGTAGTGAAGATATATTCAATACAAAACAGAATAGTATCTAGATCTATTTCATAAGGCCATCTTCAAGCTTGGTTAAAGGTCACGAGATGTAAACAGGAGTAGCACTAATTTCAACCCTAAACCTACAGCCTCATGAACAATCACGTGCCCTAACCTCATTTACATCTCGGCGACCTTGACGAAATCTTGAGTTGGCCTTAAGGAATAGATCTAGCCCAGAATTGTAAATTGTCTAATAAAATAGGGGGGAGCAACCCTGCACCCGCTATATATCCGCGCCGAGTTGTATTTGTAATTTAAAGTCGAGCACCTTTGAACTGGAAATAGACATGTAATCATCCTTTATCGTGACAAATTATTGTCCAGAAACTTTGATCAGCAACACAGACAGCAAATCATCTGGATATTCTAATAATTTACGCTGTGTTTAAAGAGCAATAAAAAGTAGTTGAAATGACTTCGGTCATACGATTTGACATTTTGTCTGGCCAACTGTCAACTAATAGAGTTTTAATCTGTATTACACGACTTTTATTACACGCCTAAGGTCTCGATCAACTTTTTCTTTTGGCTGTGGTTCGAGTTTTCTTCTCTAATGTAAACATACGGTGACAGATAATCTATATATAAAATTGTTAAATAATGTAAAGCACCACGTGGGAGTAAAGTAGGAAATGTTTGATCAGTTCCTGGTTAGCCACCAATCTGATTACACTACAGATGTATATTTCGTTTCGTTTTTTAATACTTTCGATGGCCTACACTACATGAAGATCTGACAGGATGTTGCGATAGGTAACGTCAGAGGTCATACGAGCGGCTTTTGACCCTATGACATCAGACATTTGATTAACCAATCAGCGTGGTTCTCCCTTGTCAGTGATGCAGGACGTAGGGCCTGACAAGGAAAGCTGTCTAGTCGTTCGGATGGAACGAAAAACCGAGGTCCCGTGTACACATTGGCGTGCACGTAAAAGATCCCTTTGCAGTTGGAATTCGATATAAGAGTAGGCCGGAGTGCCACTGTCCGGGCAAAATTTACCTCATAGCACACTGTATGGCATATGCCCGTCTTCATTAGCCCAGGTTAGGAGCAGAACAGTAGGACGTTAAACTCCATTTCATTTCATTTCATTTCATGTATTGAACATTTCATTCAAATTACTTTTTTCTTAGCCAGGTTATCACTGATTGTAGTTTTGACAGGATGTGTGCATTGATTGCTTATTATTGTAACTACGGTACTTGTATATTCTCCATTTTTTAAATTAAAACATTAAATGGCCGAACCGTTCTGATCTAGTTTTAATCTCGAGCATCCGATGCCATCGAGAGTTAATTATGGTCTTGGCATGTTAATATATTTCTAATTAATAAATTATATAACATTTAAGGCCTAAAAATAGACCTGCAAAAGGCAAGGTTAGCTCTTGAATAATGTATCCTTAATAATAAAACACATATTGCCTCCTATTTTAAGACACGGGCACAAAATAATAATAAAAATAATATTTGCTCCTATTCTTTAATATTAAAATGTTAAAATTCCCGAAAGAAGGAAATTTGAACAACCCCAAATTCAACATAATTACAATTTTTTCACAGAGCTTAACAAAGAAGGACTAGAAGCACCATGTGACAGGTTTAATGGTGTGGTTTCTTACCCTTTGAATCTAGAGAACAGCCCTCTATTATGATCCTAAAGCATCACTATCTTGACTAAAGCAAATACATTTAAATAGGCTTTAACTTTTTCTTTCTGGTGCAGGATGAAGGGTCGTAGAACAGATGTCTAGTTGTTCGTACATATTAGCGTAAAAGAACTTTTGACAGGTGGAAGTCGATATAAGAGTAGGTCACACGATACCCTCATAACGCACTGTATGGCGTATCGGAGTAGAAGAGTTGGACGTTAAAATCTATTTCATTGCTACTTTCTGACTAGACAATGTTCCTTGCGCGTAGGTGTCCTTAGGGGGGGGGGGGTAAGAAGGACAAGGACGTAGCGAAACTCCACGAGGTTGAACCCCACTCCTTGTCAGGTCAAGCGAGAAATCGAAATAACGAGTACAGGCCACATGCAAGACACAGTAACCTATATCGGTTAATGGATGGTTATTTCTATATTCACGAATAGTATTTTTTATTAGGATGCGTTTTCTCGATATCACCAGTAAATGACGAATTCAACAATTTACTTTAGATCAAAAATAATATTTGCAACAGAGACTGTTTTTAATGTTCATTAACAACTTTGAAATCTTGCGTGGGAAAAAGAGATTTGTGATGACAGAGAATCTGCTAGTAAATGATCAGAAAATTGTGATTATAAGAGATATTTTTTTTTATAATGCGTGAAAGTGTCAATATGGTGCTAATGAATAAAACGGTCAGCCAATATTCAGAACCGGAAATAAAAAATAGCATGTCTCTTTCTGTGTGCTTTCTGATCACTGCCACTGAAAACACATATCTCTTCCAGCTGTTCACGTAATAAAATAATAATATTATAGCAGAAGCTTGTACGGTCTTGTTGTATGGATTCGCTTGCTCGCCTGTACGTGGCAAGGATAACATCAAGGGTCTTCTTCCGTTTCCCCGTTTAATTCCACTGCTAAAGACCCCTACGCACAAACGAATGTTTGAAATAAAATTGAATAATACGTAAGTCCCATTTGAACGAATATACACTGTTCCATGTTAGCCCGACCCCCCCCCCCCCCTCCCCGATCCTACACCACGCCAAAAAGCCCAAAGGAACTTTCTTGGCTATCGCCGGAAGCGAACCCAGGACATGTTCACCGCGACTTCCTAAACAAATTCTGATGAAATTAAGATTAATATGTCATCGAACTAGACAATCATGTTCTGGATGATATATGTTCTAGAAGAATCTCTGCTCTCTGATATTATTAACCAATTAAAGATAGTCTAGAGGTCAGGTAGGTTAACACCGTAATTACAGTTGACGAACGGGGTAATTATAGGTCATCATTTGCTGGTACTTTCTTATCAAAATCGTTAATTAATCGTCAGAATATATTTAAGCTAAGATTATCTCTATCCAAATTATGTTTGAACGAAAAGTGCAGTCCGTCTGATTATCGGTAACTAACGGAAGCAATTATTCCTTAGCAGTTGTGGTAGTCTTTGTCAGGTATATTTAGAATAGTAGCTTATTATTATGAGGGTGGTGCGTTCATCCTGTCCAAAAATTAATACGCTCTTTTGATTTTACGACTCTATAATTCAGGACCACTTAGCAAGACGGTATTAAAGGTATGTTCTTGGGAAAACTTAATTATCAACTGCTTTCCAATTTGTTGTACATCGCTCGATTGTATCGTATATGATGTTTTAGATATCTAGACAGTGATAAGCGGCATTTGGTACGATTAGATAAAGAGCTGGTGGCAGTTCTCGCTGTATTAGTTACAAAATAAATATTGAAAAGAGAATACTGAATCTGAAAATTTCAGTCAAATTACTCCATTCTGAACCGAGCTATCGGCGATACAATTTTGGTCTATCTTCGATTGTCATTACTACCGTTGTTACGGTAATAAACGAAGTCTCGATTATCTATTCATCAACAACAAAACGCATTCAAATCGGCAATACATTATCAG